CAGGGGCAGCAACACTCGGCAAGGCCAACACCTGGAAGGGAAGGTGTCTTCCTCTCCTATTCCTGCTGGGCAAGGTGCGGAGCTACAAAACAACAGGACCCCAGCGCTGGGAGTGGGGAGTAGGCAGGCCAGCGGCTCCGATCACACGCTGGATCATCAGTGCCGATTGACCAAGACTTGTCTCTATTTGGCATGTAAATATTTGGCCTAAATCAACTGCCAACGGAGGTTTCATAACAACCAAGGGTATCCCAATTATTCAAGAGCTCTTTTGAAATTCTCAAAATAAAATGTTTAAATTCACTTTCATCTTAAAAAAAACACTTGTGGTATGCCTTATGAGACAGCCTGTCAAGATATCAAGTAAATGACAACAGGTTATCACTCTTCCTGAATCTGGCAGAAACCAGTGGCTTTAAAAATATATATAGGGCCTCCCCGGTGGCGCAGCGGTTGAGCACTGGGTTGCGAAGCTGCCCGCAGCCTCTGTGGCGCCGGTTCGATCCCCGGCTGCTCCCCGGCCACTGGAGGAGGGTCCCACATGGCGCGCAGACCTCTCCTGCCGCCCGCTGCTCCCCTCAGCAGTGTACTTCGGTCCTTCTGCCTGCTCTGCTCCCCGCTCTGGCTCTGGTGAATTCTCTCACCCTCCCGCGCTTCTGACTGTACCCAGTGCATGTATAAACAAAACAAACAAACAAATAAATAAATAAATGAAGCATGCCTCTATAAAAAAAAAAAATAAAATAAAAAAAATAATAAAAATATATATAAAGAAATGGGTTTGATGTTGAAAAATGAGAGGCAGATTCGTGGCCACTTTGAACCTAGGAAGACCAAATAATTTGGAAAAGCGTTAATATTTGGCAAGTGTTCAAAGTGCTGCGGGGAAACTGAGCTGTGAACTATAACTGTGCTCCAGGTGGGAAAGAATAAAATAAAATCTAGAAATGTTTTGTTAAAGATTGAATTACCAAATTAGAGGAAGGAAAGAAATGCAGCTGCTGGGACAGATTTGAGTTTCAGTTAAGGATTTGATCCCAGTATCATGTAATTTTCGTCAAAAACAAGAATTCTCAGCAGCTGAGAAAGAACATGAGCGGACAAGAGAAGGGGCCAAGAAAGGCAATGAAAGAATGGAGCGGGGACACTGAGGAGGCTGTGCCCAGGAGAGGCCAGAGCACTGGGTGGCCCCAGGCAGGCCCAAGGGGCTAGGGAGGGGGGCTCCTCTCATCACTCTGACACAGGAGGAGCCAGGCCTTCAAGACAGAGGGGTTTGAGGGCTCCAGGAGGTAGCTGCCGGTCATCCAGGAAGTGGCCTGGCCACTCCTGCAGGAGGTGGATGGCTTCTCACTGTTTTCCAGGAGTGTTGATGGCTCTTTGGCCAGGTCCCCATCTGTAGCCAGTGGGACTCCCCTCAAGGTGGCTGGGCTGAGGCTGCAGTCAGAGCTGGACCTGGTCTGTTCAGAGGCACCCCACTGGTTGGAGTACTAAGTCCTCCAGTGGTAAACTCCCCAGCAGCCCCTCTGAGGCTGTGCCTCCCCCAAAGTCACACACTAGTTAGCCACACAGGCCTGACTGGAGCCCAGGTCTCTCAGCCACAACCACTGACCCACATCTCTCTCTGCCACATTTCTTTGGCACTGGTCAAGCAGAAGTCCAGCCAAGGGCAGAGCTGGAGGCTTCGGCAGACACTTTGATGAGGTGTATGAACAACAGAGATGAAGCTCTTTGACCTGTCAGGGGCAGCTTTGTAAGGGCACAGGAGGGGAAAAAAACAAAAGCAAGTTTATACTCAGAGGGAAACATAATCTGTGATTATAAATATTTCATGAGCAAAGAAAGCGGCACTGGCTGAGAGACTGGGGTGGGGAAGTGGACAGCAAATTAGATCCCAGTTTGCAAAGTGATAGGGCAGCTGGAAAAGCAGCAAAACCAAGGCTATTCTGGGCGGTATGCTTCGAGGGCCTGCGTCACAGACACAGCCTGGGCTCCGGTCACCCAGCTTTGTGGAAACCACAGCCTTCCAGGGGTCAGCACAGAACTCCTTGGGAGAGTGTCTATGCCCATGTAAAGCCAGAGAAGGGGACCGCAAGGACGTCTGTGTGATTTCGGTAAAGCTCAACAGCAGGGAGGCGGGTGAGGGGCTGCAGCAAAGCAGTCAGCACCCTGCACACTCATGAAAGGATGAATACCCTTTCTGCAGACTAAGGTGGAGGGAGAAGTGAGCCCGACCCCCATAAGCAAGTGACCTGTGAGAGGGCAGCTCCAGCCAAGCTGCCCTGGTGAGAGCAAAGGTCCACTCCTGAGCAGGTGGTGTCAGACAGAGAACAATCCTGCCTTTACTTTACTTTATGACGGGCCTCTTCCTCCTGCAGCCTTTGGGAAACAGACCAGAAAGCAGAGAAATTAAGTTTCCTGAGCAGCAGCTGCTGCAGCTGAAGACCCACACACCACTAGCAAAGCAGACCCCCATTTGGGCATGATTCCATCTCCTTGGCCACCATCAGCACTACAGAACACATCATTTGTAGATTCTGTTGGTCCTTCAGAGGGCCAGATGGAGGAATATTAGGTGCACCCCGCAAGGGAAAGATGGAAAGCAAAGCATCTCCACTGCCTTCCAGGCAAGGCTCAGTGGACAACAGGCTTCAAGGTGTACCCACTGAGCTCCGGAAAATCAGTGTTTCATCTTCTAGAATCTCAGCTAGTGAGAATCAACCCAAGATGGAGAGGACTCAACAACCACGAAAGTGGGACGCCAGAACACTGGGAAGACCGCTGAGGTGCAAGTCACAGCAATTGGCTTTGAAAGCAGGTTTACCACCCAGTAGTTTTAGGAGCCTGAGAAATCGTGTTAGCTCTATAACAGTGTCCTCGGCTAAGAAACAGGGTGAATGCCTGCCAAACCCAGAACTATGAGGCATAACAAGAACATACGTGTATGTAAATGCTTTCCAAAGAGACACTTAAGTCCTATTCCCATTTAAGAGATTACTTCTACTCAGCTACCTATTTGACATCTTTGGATGACTCAGAGGCACCTGTTCAGATGCTCCCATCCACTGCCCTTCCTCCCCCATCCTCAGGGAAGCACCAAAGCTTCCTGCCCCATCCTAGAGCACTCAAGCTCAGTGTTCGGTAGGACAACCATCCAGGCATGGACGCCAGAAACCTAGGACCCACTCTTGGCCCTTCCCCACTATATTAATGCTTTACCAAGCCCTATCAGCTGTGCGTCCTACAGGCCACACTCCCTCCGTCACCACCTGCCCAGGTTGCCCTCTTGCACAGTCTACCACAAGCCTCCACTCATCCATTCTGACCTCTCCACTGAGCAGAGTAACCACATCTCCTCTCCCAGCACCCTTACCTCACAGGCCAGACTCTAACAACATCCCAATGCACTAAGAATGAAGCCTGCTTCCTGGGTCGAGGCCCTGCACTATGCGACCCTGCTCCAGCCTCACACGCTCCCTCACACTCTCCCTGCTCCACACACTGGGTTTTTGAGTCCTGGTACTCATCCATTCTCTCCTGCCACAGGGCTTTTGTACCTGCTCTTTCCTCTTCTTGGAACATTTCCCCCTCCTCTCACATAGCTAATGCCTGGCCACTTATCTTTACAAGTGCCAAGTACACTGAGGTGTACCGCTCAATATTTACAGATGTATACACTCATGCGACTCCCACCCAGGCCTGGATTTAGAACATTTCCAACACCACCGTAGAGGTGCCCTTTGCCCCTCTCCAATAGCACTCTTCCCACCCCAGTCCCCCAATCAGGTCTTCTTTCAGCGCCTACCCCCCCTCACCCCGAATGTGCCGGATGCAGCCCTTTCTCAGGGAAGCTGCCTCCAATCCCACTCCAGTCTCATTCCAAGTCTAACCCCTCAGTCACAGGCACGTTACACTTGGTGATTTGCGTGAGTAATGTGATTTGTGTTGATTTCCTGGACACTGTAAATTCCCTGAGGGCAGAGGCTGTATCTGCCTGTTTCCCAGTGCTGGCACAGGCACAGGAATGATAACCGAAAACAGCGAATACCTATCAAGTGCTGATTACTGCCAGGCACTTACAGGTAACAACTCATTAATCCTCACACCAGCTCTATCAAGTTAGTACTATTATTAAGTCCCCATTTTACAGGGATTGAAACTGAGCGACAGAGAAGTTCCCAAAGTTGTTAAGCGGTGAGTGGTGGAGTCAGGATTCAAACCCAGGCTGTCTGGCCACAGAGCCTTGTTTCTTCATCTTTATGCCACTCTGCCTCTCACCAGTCACTGGAAGATTCACGCGTGGGTGTCAGGGATTTTTTTTTTTTTTTTTTTGGTGGGACCCTCGCCGGCAGCCGGGGAACGAACTGGTGCTGCAGAGGCTGCGGACAGCCTCACAGCCCAGCGCTCAACCGCTGCGCCACCAGGGGAGGCCCGTCAGGGATATTTTTAATGAATGAATTTATAAATGAGTTGATGAGATTCCACTGAAAGAACTAAGGGAGTCCCAAATCTCCCCAAGACCAACAAATAAATGGAAGATAATTTGTCACTGAATTGCCTGCACAAGACCAAAATTAAGTCGCCAGCAAAATACAAAGGAGTCCATTCCCCAGGGGCCAGGGAGGTTGCTTTCTGCTATTGAGAACAGAGGGGCACTCTGGTTTCTAGCAGAGGACCCCCCAGCGGAGACAGAATTATTCTCTGAGTTCTAAAGAAGCTTGAAGGCAGTGTTCACTAGATGAAACAAGTCCTCTGCTCTTACCCACATCCCAGTAATCTTCACAACCACAGGAAGGGGACTCTGGATGGCAAAAATAAAAAAGTTTTTGCCTGGGTAGAAATGTACAGATTCTACTGTACACTTATTAAATTGGCATTTGGTTTGTACTTCACTACTCCAAGGCCACATCATCCTGATGAACACACAGGCTGCTCCAAGCAGACTCGTCCGCATGGCCAGACATGGGTTGGCCACCTTTTACGTGTTTCAGCGCCATTTACCTCATGACCACATCTCAGAAAGCTCAGGAAGAAAACATACGTGAAAACTTGTTTATTTGCTCACAGGACACTGTTCACCAGCCATGGGGCCCACACTCCCTCCCTCTCAGCAAAGGTCCAGTTCTCCAACCTGCTCCGCTCGTGAGCCCCGCTGCAGCCTCAGCCGGGTTCCACTCACACGAAGTTCTGTGCAATGGCCAGCACCTTGGAAAACTCGCCTTCCCTCCGGCGTAGGCTAGTGGGGATGGGTGTCTTAATTCGGGTTCCCACGGGGTTCCCATTGTCCTCAATGAGGACCACATTGTTGGAGTCAAACCTGGGTGTCATTGAGGGGCCAGGCATGCGATGCCCCACGATGAGTGCCTTTTTCTTCTGTCCCTTGATGGCCAGCAAGATCTTGTCGCCCACCTTGCCCACCCCACTCTTGTTATAGACATGGATGCAACGAGGAGGACGATGGTAGGGGGTGTTCCCCAGAGCACTGTTGTCCACTACACGCACCCGCGTCATCTTCTGAATGGCACTGAGGCTCCCAGAGGTGCTGGTGGAAGAGAAAAGACTTTGAGATCTGCATCTCCTGGCCAGGGTGCACACAGGAGAGGGCCAGGCTTGGGAAAGAGCACCTGTCAGCAACAAGAAGTGGAACCAAGCTCAACCCAGGCCTGACATCGAGTCAGGTGCTTATAAATACTTCTGTGCTCAAGACAGTTTCCTTACAGTCCATGGCCTCAAATGCTTCTGCTGCCACATCAAGAACTCGACTTGGATAGGTTTTAGAAGAACCCAAACTTCTGTTATAACAATCTTCGTGGCTACCTTAGCTGAAAGTATTTGGTTTCCAAAAAATACCTTGAGGATTAAGGGAACGTATTATGGGCTGAACCTTACCCGCTGCCTAGCCTGTAAAACCTGCTTCCCCAGAACACCCTTATTTCCTAATGTTCTCATCTGTTTGTTGCTGGGCAGAAGAAGATATGAGCAAGGGTTTGCTAAGGGAATCCCTTGACAGAATATAGCAGAAACTGTAAACAGGTAATAATGCTTTGCTTTAATGCATTTTTCCAAGCTAGAAGGGAATTTTTTTCTAAAGAGTACTTATTAAAGGCAGGTAAGCTATTACTAAGCAGCCTGATAACATGAGGTTTCTCTTTTCCTGGCGCTAGCAACTTGAATGCTGGTGTTCTCCAGAGTAACCCTACATCCTCTTCTCTCATTCCACAAGCTTACTCTGGGCAATTCTATCTATCCCCACTGTCTCCAAAGAGTAAACTCCATCTCTATTCCCACTTCTCTCCAATATTCTAGCTCTCTCTCTCTACTCTAAAGTCCCCAAAGATGGTCACACAGATACCACAAGCTCAGCAGGTCCCATACTATGCTCATCGCCTTCCACTGCTGCCTTTCCCACCCACATAAAGGCTTCTCCAGGAACCCCAGCTCCCAAGCCATAAACCTCTTTCCATCAACATCCACTGGCTGCCAAGTCCAACTGATACTATCTCTGAAGCACTCTGTGCTTTTCCTCTACCCCACCAACACTTCCTTAATTTGGACGCTCGCTATCTCCCACCAAGACTGCTAAATTAGTGTCCTAACTAGTTCCCAGTATACTTGGCTCTGCTGATCCAGAGTTCACTATGGAATATAAAACTGAGACCACACCCCTCCTTGAATGTTCAAAGTTCCCCACTGTACTATCAACAATCTGGCCCTGATTTTCCTGTCTTCTGAGGTCCATCACCTCCTACCATCATATATCCACTCTGTGCCAGCAGAGAGAAACTCCTGGAGCTCTCCAAGCATGCCATGCCTCTCACATGACCTCCCTAGAGGCCTGGACAGAGGCTGCTCCACTTCTCTTCTGGGAAGGCAGCCTCTCCTCTCTTCTCCTCCTCCATCTCCATTAGCAGCCCCTGTCTCAGGCCTTCCAAAGCACCATACAAACCTCTATTATTATACTTGTCACATTTTCTTAGAGCTATTTGTTTCCAACTTTGCTCCCATGGCCAACTGTGAAAACTCTTTTAGGGCAGAAAGCAATTCTTATTCCTCTCTCTCTGACCAACCCCAGGCACCATGCTCAGTAAATGCCTGTGGAATGAGTACACAAACAGGGACAGAAGCCATGTTTGCCAACAGCTATGCAACCCGTATTGCCCATCCTGGTAAGCACCTGAAGAGAGAGGAGGTTCTCACACTTCTATCATATTTAGTATTTGGTTAATAAGATTCCATTTTTATTTGGTGGGATTAAAACACTCAACACTCAATAACTGATAAACAAGTTAATTGAAAAGTGTTCAGGACACAGAATTTGTTTGGGAACCAAACAAATCATTGCCTGTTCAGGACACAGAATAGGGATCAACAAATTATTGCCTTTGGTACAAATCTAGTTCACCGTGGGGCAAATCCAGAACACCTACTTCTATATCACTGCTGTGGATTTGAATAGTCGTGACAGAAAACGTATGGCCCACAAAAATGATAACATTCACTATATAGCCCTTTACTGAAAAAGTTTATGTACCACTGGACCCCTGACATAAAAGACTTGACAACATTATCTACCAGTTGAATATTATTGAAACTTAGAGAACACTCATGGGACAGAAGAACATATATTCTTTTTTTTTTTTTTTTTTTTTATTTATTTATTTTGTTTGTTTGTTTTTGTTTATACATGCACTGGGTACAGTCAGAAGTGCGGGAGGGTGAGAGAATTCACCAGAGCCAGAGCGGGGAGCAGAGCAGGCAGAGGGACCGAAGTACACTGCTGAGGGGAGCAGCGGGCAGCAGGAGAGGTCTGCGCGCCATGTGGGACCCTCCTCTGGTGGCCGGGGAGCAGCCGGGGATCGAACCGGCACCGCAGAGGCCGCGGGCAGCTTCGCAACCCAGCGCTCAACCGCTGCGCCACCGGGGAGGCCCAGAACATATATTCTTTTCTTCTTTTTAAAATATTCCATTTTGGGGCCTCCCTGGTGGCACCGGGGTTAAAATCTCAGTGCTATGAAACTATCGCCAGCCACTTTGGACTGAGTTTGATCCCTGGCCAAGAAGCAACCCACATGGCGCAGCAGGCCTCTCCTGTCTTGCCCGCTGCTCCCCTCAGCAGTGTGTTTCAGTCAGTCTGCCTGTTCTGCTCCCCACTCTGTCTCTGGTGAATCCTCTCACCCCACTGCACCTCTGGCCTGTGCCCCAGGTCTTATATGCATAAATAAATAAAACAAATCATTTTAAAAAAATTCCATTTTTAAAAGAGAAGGCTTCAATATACTCGGGGAGTGATCTAGTCAAGATGTCAGATTTACCATGAGAGTCTGGGACAAGGATGAAAGCTGTATCTTCTACCATGGCCAATCCCCACTCCACCTCCACAGCAATGCCACGTGCTTACCTGTCCCCTCATCTGACTGATCACACCTTAGTTCGGTGGGATTCCTTTAGTTCTCATTGACCCTGAGCCCGTCCCCCCAAGCTTCCACTTCCACTCTAGCCACCAGGACACCCAGCCCTGATGGGGAACGCATACTCAACTACACAGCTCTTAGAACTTAATGGGAAAGGTTACCTGAAAAGACGCTGGCTGAGGGTTCTGCTTACATGTGTGAAGGGGCCCAAGAGTCCAGTAGTCAAAGCCATGGGATCCCAAGATAGCAAATCCTGCAGGAAAAGGGGGGTCAGAGGGGAGAGAATTTATTTCTAAGCAGTGTCCTTACACAGATCCAGTTTTGAGTTTTTTGTGGTTTTTTTTTTTTTTTTTTGTAAAAGACTGTTGGGAACTTGTGTGGGAGATGGTACTTCTAGCACAAGATCATTAGTCACTAAATATAAATCTTGGTGGTTAAAAGCTACGCGGATAATTAGATGGAATTCCAGCTACAAATCTGCTGATTCATATTCTAACTGGGGTCAGGGAGCTGGAATGGCCCGCAACCGGCCTTGCTGTAACACAACAGCGTGAAGAATGCCTTCATTGACACATCACCTCCACAGGTAGGAAGAAAGCATGACTCCTCTGGTACACACCTAGTCAGCAAGCATTTCTCAAGTCCTCTGCGGAGGAAAACCTGCACACTAGTACCCTTGTTGACACGCATGTGCTTTCTGAAGCCAGAACTTACACCCCGAGTGAAGATTATCTGAGCAACTGCCCAGTTGTCTGGTAGCACATCACCTTTCCTCCAAATGTAACAGCTAGTGCACCTGTAATGCCCAAGGCTAGCAGAAGAGAGACAAAGGATGTCCTCACCAAGTCACTGATCAGGGTCTCCTATCTGGGTCAGCCTCCGAAACAGCACTAAGGCCTGGTGAAACTGCCCACCCCACACTGCTGCTGAAAGCTGGGATGAGGACAGCAAGCTGGAGATAAAAGAACAAATACCAGTTCTTGTGACTCAGGCCTCAGCTCACTGATCCCGGCACTAAACAATACAGCAATCCCCTGTCTTCTGCAACACCTGGGCATCATTTAGGGGCATGTTTATGAAAAACCTACAGCCAGCTGGTTCGTCCCACGCCTGTTCTCCTAAGTGTTTGGCTGCAGAGAGCCTCATTTGAGAGCTCTGCTGAGGAAGGCCCCTACCACTGTAGTATTTACACACAGCTTTGCCTTGAGTAAGTTCAAAGCACCTCAGATAAGATTTTATTTAATAAGGGTAGGGCAAAAATCCACTATTTACCTTCATAGGAATAGCCAGACACTTCATAAATGCTTATCAACAAGTTAGCTTAAACTGCAAGTTCACTCTCCAGTGTTTTCCTTTAGACAACCCAGGAAGCATTGGGCAAAAAATAATTAAAATCAGAAAATTAATTGCAAAAGAAGGCAGTAAGTTACAGAACGATTAACATATGACACACACAAGACTGTGGGATGAGAAGAGCTTTACCTTTACAGCTAGGTGACCCTGGACAAGGAACTATGAGCTTCAGCTCCCACATCTGTACTGGGGTTTCCCAGAAGGACACATGAGCACCAGCACCCCTTAGTTGTCTTCATCAGCCTCTAGCTGCACCTCATCTCACAGATTAGGAAACTGAGTTACAAAGATGAAGTGACTTGCCACAATTAGCCAAGGGCAGAACCAGAACCAGCACTGGACCCAGCTTCAGTCCAAGTCCCTCTACTACAGCCTACAGCCTCACTCTGCTATACAGAGCTGAGGGTGCGAAGCAGCTTTATAGGTTGCTTTCTAGTTCCCATAGATGAAAATTTACTGAGTAGTTATAATGTGTCAGGCACTGGGCTAAGTATTTTTACATCATCATCTCATTTAAGCCTCACAAAAACTCTGCTATGGACGTAATTATCATCCCTTTTTTTACATATATGAGGAAATGAGGCGCAGACAGGTTAGGTAATTAGCTCAAGGTCACAAAGCTAGGAACGACAAAGTTGAAATCTGAACCGCAACAGTCAGCTTCCTAGACCCTGTACTCTTACTCAACAGAGTTAACATGGCTAACTTTAATTTAAATATAGTATTTTTCCAACTGTTATCCTCCTTGTTCCATCAAGAATACTGAAATCACAGGCACATTTTACTCATACCCAACTCAATATTTGCTGAATCAGCTGAAATGCAGACAAACACCAGGTGAAAACTATTCACTTCAATCCAGTTTAAGTTTTTTTTGACAATGTATAGTGTAGGTGGCAAAGAGAACTCCATACTCTGAGCAATGACTAAAAATTGGCTTTAAAAAAAAAATAAAACAGAGCTCTAAAAAGCACTCCTTCTGGTCCAGGCTGCAGTTACCAATCGCAGCCAAGCTTTCCCATCTGACGCTAGTGGGCCCTTGCTCTCACTCCCTGGGAGAAAAAGAGGCTCCACAGCTCCTCCACAGAAGCCTCCAGATTAGCCCAACACCACCCACACTCCCTCTTCTGAGAACTGCGACACCCAGCCTCTCTACACCACACTGCTTCCTCACAACACTTCGGTTAGTCCAAGAACTGCACAAGTGCCTGGGGGCTTCCCAGACTTGGGTATAGCAAGACCCACCTCTTGAAAATCTGCAAGGCAGTCTGCACAAACCAAACTGTGCCTTGCTCACAAGCCACCCTGCAACCTAAACGCCATCTCTGCCTAGCCAAATGTGACCCAGCTCCAAACATACCTCCTCCAAGAAGGCTGGCGTAAGACTGTAGCATCGGTTGCTAACCTTCCTGCACACTGAGGACATGTGGGTATCCAGTGCTGGGGGAACTCTCACTACCCCCAACTTTCACTACCCAAACTCAGACACTGAATAAACATGGATACCTTTGTAATAAGGCTGATACCCGTTAAGATTCCAGTTCTTGCGGTTCAGAAACCACAAAGATCTTGACAACATGGCTTATGAACTCACTATAGGGATTCAGGAATCACAGACTCTCAGGTGGTGAGGATTTCTTGTACTGTGTCACATATGAGTAAGTCTCCAGGGAGCACTTCCATTTCCATAAGAAAAGGCTCAATTTAAACACTTTTTACTAGATCTTTGGTGGATCATGATCGTGACCCTTAGACCCAAAAGACCTCTGGCATCAAATAGATAGCAGTAGGCATTCCTGTGAACCTGAAAGTCCAAAGGAACCAAATCACTTATTTATAAGTCCCTCATTCTTACACACACACACACACACACACACACACACACACACACCCCAGTGGCTCCCTCCCACTCCCACCAAAATACTCCAGCAGGTCCTGACAGGTAACTGCTGAATGAGCTCAATGAAGTAGCCAACAGAAAGATAGAGCCCCCACTCAAGGCACCACACAGAGGGACATGCAAACCCTGTAGAGCTCTTATCTGTTTTGTTGCCTACCAAAACATCACATGCAAGTATGCTTGAAGGAAACCCTGGTGCTGGTTATGGGAAGACGAGCTCATGCTGTGTTAAAGACTCCTGGAATCATCTCCTGGCCCTGGTGCCCACACTGCCACTGAAAAAACACCTGATCCCATCACTAACTAAGTGGTTCAGATCAGGGAAGAGTAATAGAGGCGGCAATTTACTTCAAAGCAACTTGGGCTGACCTTGATGTTATTTCCCAGCATAAATCCACCCTATAGACAAAGGCCCTGATTCACTTCAGAGCAGTGGGTATACATTGCCTTGTTTCACAAGTAATGTTATTCTGAGTCTTGTGTTTGCACAGGAGACAGACCCTAGTGATACTTCCTCCTCCACAACACTCTGACTCAGAGGAGGCCAGAAATTCAGAAGACTCCATTGCCAGAAATGGTTTTTCATGCCATTTCCTGGTCAGCATTGAGTATTGCACTCCACGGGAAGAGCAAGAACATGTCCCGTAGAGAAAGGGAGAGGAGCAGCAAGAAGAGGAAGCAGGGAGAGATGGAGAGGGGGAGAAATTACTTAAGTACAACCCACGAACTGTGTTCGTTTTCCATCCTGCTTTAAGACTCCCCTTCAGTTGCACCAGAGAGGACTCTGGATTTCAGGACTCACAGGTGAGTTTTTCAATCAGCATCACACTATCGGCCCCACTGGAAGCAGTGTACACTCTGTGAGAGCCGGGGCTGCTGAGTGCTGCACACTCAGGACACAGAACAGTGCCTGGCACACAAATGGAGCTCAGAGAGTATCTGTTAAGTGAATAAAATTAATCTGCAATTGCCATTCAGCCTCTAGCTCCAGGTGGTGTTTCTTGTGCCCCTACCCAGGCTCCCAGTGACTATGGGGAGCCTCTCAGGCCCTGAGAATTGGTTTTGTTTTGTTTTGTTTTGAGCTAATTTTAATATCAGCCTGAGTTGGAAAAAGCCTACACCTCTGACATTTTGTGGAAAGACCACTGCTTACTAAGGATCAGCAGTTATATAGTATCACAGACTGATACATAATTATACTTTGTTTCCTTTTTATAAATTATACTAGTTTTCATCTTTAGGCCCTCACACATTACATACATTCAAGAGGGATGGGGCCTATCCAAGAGCTCAGCTTAATTACAAAGGAGTGCTTAAAGGGGACCCTGTTAGTAAGTATTGGAAGAGGGAAAAAAATTAAGCAATCAAATGCAAGGCCCAACCACAAAAAGGACAAACTCCAGCTAATAAACTTTCTTCTTTATTAAAGCAGGGAAAACAAAGGCTTGGCAGTTTCCAGGAATCAAAACAAGGAAATCCCAGGATCCTTGTCATGAAGACATAATCCCCCAACCCCATTTCCTGGTAGGTTCCTCCCCAATCATTCTGGAGCAATAAATACTCTTATTTACAGCTTAAAAACCTCATTACTGCTTTTTTTTTTTTTTTTTAAATATATACTTACAGAAGTGTAACACAATTCTCCAAGTACTTTCACACATACCATTCTTGGATGATTTCATACCTGAACCCAATAAAAACACAAAGACAAATAACAAAGAGAAACAATCTATAGGGAATGTATCTGCTAAGGATTTTTGAAAGTTCTGGAGGCTCAAAAAAGTAAGTAGCATTTTGCAGATGGCGAAATGAAGTTGAAAATGCTAAGCAACCTGCTGGCTTGTCCAAGGTTAGGAGTCTGTTTCTATTACATCCAGCACAATATATGCAGTTAAGGTGATACTTTAATAACCACAAATAAACTTTGCAGGAATAAACACACTCCACACTGTTGTGGGGGGAAGTACTCCTTCTCTTGTCAGGGTGCCACACAGTCTTTTAAAACTCAGGAATTAGGGCCTCTCTGGTGGCCTAGGGGTTAAGTCTCAGGGCTACCACCCCCAGCAACCCCCATGTGGCGCAGCAGTCCACTTCTGTTTCTCTCCTTCCTTCCCTCAGCAGTGTATTTCAGTCAGTCTGCCTGTTCTGCGCCCCACTCTTGTCTCTGGTGAATCCTCTCACCATCCAAAACTCTGCCATACACCCCAGTTCTTCTATGCAAAAATAAATAAAATAAAAATCTTTAAAAAAAAAAAACCCTCAGGAATCTAAAAGCCGTCTTTTTAATAAATGTCTGCACTACACCCAGCACAGCTGAGAACTGAAACAGATTCTGATTCACCCACCAAGTTGTGAGTTCTCACAGCATCACCATCAATAGGCAGCATCCCTCAATTGCATGATAGGCTGTCTCTGCCATGGCTACCAGCAAGGGCACCATTAATTCTCAATTTGATTCACAAAACAAAATGTTTCCAGGGCTTTTGTCCTATATTTGCTTATTTATGTTAGATTTCACCTTGTTACAAAAGTATTTCAAATTGAGAGTCTTAAATGTATTTGATGATTCTCAATTATTCAAGGTACGTTTCAATCTGTAGTTTATCTATTCTAGCTTTGGTCCCCCTCCGCCTTCAACTCACAGGCGTGCAAACACCTATAGTTCCAGAAATGTGTTTGTAACAATCTTGGTGTGAC